TATGTTAGACCAAAACATGTTGTATGATTGCCAATGAAACAATTCCCATTATCATGTTCTCTTTCGCTGAGTTTATTCCAGCATACAACTTTTCTAATTACTTCAAAATAAAACAACTGCCTACTTGCTTGATTTTAGAGACACAACAAAGAAGTTTTGATAATAATATTAGCGTGGAATGTTATAAAACATAAAATAAGAATTAAATAATAAATTCCTTAACGTCAGCACTACCCTTGATTCTCAATTTATAAATATCAATCAAAGTACTGAAGTACTGAACATCGGATGACCACAAGTTCTTGAGGATGATCAAAAGCACTTGTCTCAGAAAAAAACAACATATCTCTTTACCTAAAACTGAGGTTAATGTACAGAGATATATTTTTTTCTGAGACAAGTTCATGCGTGGATGATGAATAAATGACAGGAAATTCAACTTCACCGTAATAACTATTATATTGTAGTGATACAAATCAGTATACACTGAGTTGTTGTTTATATTATATTAAAATAACAGTTACATATATATATGATTTGAATCCATTTGTATATCATTCTATTCTACTATTCTAAAAATAGTGCAATGCAAGTGCATGGTGGACACTTTTCTGTAAAAATTCGATTTTTCTAAGATTGGATACGAGTAGGCATTCATATTTTCCCGCAAAATCAATTACAGAGTTACCGGTCCTTGACGGTATTTTCACAAAACGTTCTTTGAGATATTCTTCCGCATGCTTTAACACAATTTTTCGGTACGTGTGCATTGATATTATCAATGATTTTTTACTTATATATATATATCTAACTACAAAACATTTTCATATTATTAATTTATGTTGTAAACAAAAATATTTTTATCAGTATTCATTGAAGAGATGTATTTATATCAAACGATAAGGAATGTTATTTTGCACTCGTTTATGTGCGCGTATTTATCATGTTTATAGATCGGTTACAAACCCAAAACTAATTTACATAATGGAAATCTAGGCGATAGCAATACATCGGGATGACCTCAAGGTCATCGCGATGTAAAAATATAATAAACTCCTCGTAGAAACCAGGATTAAAGTTTTGTACGTCAGATGCGCGTTTCGTCTTCATTGGCCTGCAACAATAATTATACCATATAGTAAGCTGCAATAGGCATCGGGATGCCAAACAAATAATGTGTTTGTACATTTCATCAAATTCCATTGAGCAGATCCAAACCTGAAAACTTCTACACTGAAAGTATGAGATTGACAAAGGGCAAAATTCATGTCTTTTTACAAGTCACTTTCGAAAAGGATTTAAAGTTGGTTGCTTTACAAGGGTAGACATTTATAAGATTCAATTTATTCGAGGGAGGAAGCTAAATTGATGAATCATATCGATACAAATTATAATTTTGTTTTACACTACATAAGCTGATTCCAGAAGTTGTTTGACATCAACAGAAAATGACAGAATCCATACTATATAAAATCTGCTATGCATAAATAAAATTAGATGTCAAAATTGTATGCTTGTGTCAATAATAATATATTTGGTGTAGAATGTATATAAAAAAAGAAGATGTGGTGCGATTGTCAATGAGACAGCTATCCACCAAAGACAATAGGACAAGAATGTAAACAACTATACAGGTCACCGTACGGCCTTCAACAATGAGAAAACCCCCCAAATTGTATAGTAAAGCCTAAAACAACCAGGGATAACAAAATGTGAAGAGAAAAAAACTGATGTCAGTTTATTTTCGACTTAATAACATTACTTTTGCAGACAGCAACCAACTACAACTACTGGACTACAGGCTCCTGGATTGGGACAAAGGTGATCAAGTCTGAGTGCAAATGTTACTAACACTTTATAATTTTCGTACGTTCAAAGCGCTTTTCTGGATTTATCTTTATCAGAAACGCTCAAAACATATGTATAATATTCATGATTTTTCGCTATCTAGCGGCTTTAATTTCATATCAGATTGGGCATCTAAAAGTTTCATAAATGACTGCTACTGTGAATAAAAATTTCAATATTCAAACAGAAATTATAATGAAATACGGAAAATAGAGAAAAAGACGATACGATACTGTCAAGTTTATCAAGATGTATAACCTACATTTTGAACAATTACGAATTTGGAAATGCTGACTTCTTTAGAGGGACTTTCATTACTTAGAAATAAAATTAACCAACTGCGTGTATAATAAAAGTCAAATATACTGGATTTGCCTGATTTGAAGCTTATTCTGCACAGCACATGTTTTACCTGCGTGGCCAAAGGCGAAAGCAGGTTTAATAACCACTCGATTATGTCTGTCTCTCCGTCCGTCTGTCTGTTTGAAAGAAAGAAAGAAAATGTCGTCAAAGTTTTCTTGGTTTCTATAAAGGGGAATGATTTAATATACCGCCTACAGCTATATAATGTTGAGTTGTAGCGAGTAAAATAGAGGCGAAGGATACCAAAGGGACATTCAAACTCATAAGTCGAAAATAAACTGACAATGCCATGGCTAAAAAGGAAAAAAAGACAAATAGATAAACAACACAACATAGAAAACCAAAGACTAAGCAACACGAATCCCACCAAAAACTGGGGTTGATCTCAGGTGATCCGGAAGGGTAAGCAGATCCTGCTCCACATGTGGCACCCGTTGCTCATGTTAGTACAAACCCGGTGATAAGTCAAATTCGGTAGGTCATATTCGGGGAAAAGGAACGGGATTGTAGTTACGACAATTGGAACATATCCGTTGTGAAATGGATATTCCATAACGGTCAGCGAGTGAGTAATGTTTACATCTGTTGTGTAGCCACTTCCTGTTTGCAGATAGTTTGAAATATTACAACACTCAATTGTACAAGGGAAATTTTCGTCACAGTTTTCTCGTCTCCTATTGATGGGAATGACTTAATAGTTGGCATGAAGCTAGATAATGTTGGGTTGTAGCGAGTAAGAACATTTTACATCTGATGAATTTTCTTCCAAACTTACTTGCTTAAGACAGGTACATGATAGAGAATTTTTTATAGAGAATGTGGCAGGATCTTGTTGATTGATTTTTTTTTTATAATTTACGTCAAGGTTGCCGCTTTCAAATGCCATGCAAATAAGTCGGTAAAGAGAAAATGTGCATGTGGAATTTTCCTATACGATGTTAACATAGGACAGAGCCATGTTTTTTTCTACATTGCAGTCCCAATAACCTACAGAGTGTGTTCATCATTGACATGAAATGAAAAATGGGCGGGTAAAACATAGCAATATAAATTAAATGTTGTATTTGTTTTTGTAGTTGTAGTTATGCAGTATTTTACTTCCATTTTTGCAGAAAGAGGTTAGATACGACCCGCTATTCTCCACCAAGGTTACAATTCCGCCGAAGAAAAAGTAAACTCAATTTTTAATTGAACAATGTCGTTTCTTCAAAACATGAAACTAATCGAGTGGCAATTAATAATTAGATATCGTATACACATTATCGCGTCGAGAAGAAATTACTTCAAACAAGAATTTTAACACAAACACATTTCTTCGAGTGAGAAATTTACCCAAATAAATTAATCGCCTTATACTTATTTATTATCTACAGGTCCTTCATTTCTGTTGTCTCTATTTATTAATATTTCCAGTAATTTAAGGTAGGTATAAATTGTCATATTTATAACTGTAAACTCAGACGTATTCATTCATGGGTGTTTTTCAAAATACGACAAGCTTTTGGCTAAGAAAGAGATTTGATCGTTTTGTTTGTTGCACTAACAGAGTTAAAAAAAAACTGATAAAATATAGAAGAATTTAAGTACATGTATTACATTCTAAATAATATACTTGAAATATTTTTGAAAATGTTTGGATACATCCATAAAATCATATTGTTAAACAGTTTTTCAACGCTAATGTATTGCTGTTGAAGACAATTTGATATAATATTCCAAACTTCTTATCTTTTGTAAAATTTAAAATTTTTTGTATCTGAAAGACAAAATGTATCTTCAATTCCTGTTAATCTTGGTTGTGAATGTCCATCTCTAAAAACTTTGCCAAAATCTATCAAAATTGAACTTTTAGCATACAATTTATTTACTTAGCTGTTCAGAAATTCATCGGCATAATTTTTTTTTATAACCATAAAGTCCTACTTGTAACATGAATATAAAAATAAGGAGATGTGGTATGACTGCCAATGAAAAAACTTAACTCCAGAGATCAAATAACGTAAAAGTTAGCAACTATATAGGTCACCGTACAGCCTTCAACAATGAGCAAAACCCATACCGCACAGTAAGCTATAAAGGGCCGAGAAATAACAAATGTAAAACAATTCAAAAGAGAAAACTAACGGCCTGATTTAAGTAAGATCAATAAACGAAAAAAAATATGATAATAAAAATAATCAGCAACGCACGACAGCTACTAAGTTACAGGCTACTGTAATACTTTGATATTTAGAAGAGATAAAATATTTTGAAACTTGCCCTAAATATAAAAAAAAGTCATGAAGAATTGTCCCTTCCTCTATTTAAATATCACCCTATTGCCCTCTATCAGCGATTTGCCGATAATGAAAGCACGCATACATTCTGAATTTATAGTAAATTGAAGAACATCAAGTAGAATAAAGTTCTATTATTCTCAGATATATTTGATTAATTTTAAAATTATCTCTTTCTTGGGAAAAATAACATGCTCTACAAATAACATGCCTCTGGATATAGATTTTTTATATGAAACATGCAACTAATTTACAAATTAACTTGTATTTACTTGTAGTGGAATTACATGTTTGTTACGTGTATGTGTGATAGGTAGAGGTTGACCAATTGATTTGGAATTCCAAATATACATAACATAATCATTTTAAAACATTTTATGTCATTTTGAAGTCATCTAGTCATCAGAAATCAAGCCTAAAGTGACAAAAAATATGATTAATTTAATTAATCACTGACCAAGGTATATATTAATTTAATTGATTAGTTATTAATTCATTTCGCAAAATATTTTTTCGAGGTAGAGGATATACAATCCCTAGTCATGGAACTGAAAATTTTCTTTTCAGTAGTTTTGTTATGCTTATTTTCAAGGAATATATCGGCTTTGCGTGAATGTGAGTTATTTCCTTTTATTTTTAATTTAAATTCATTTTTGAAATGGTATGGTAGTTTCTATTCATAGTCTACGCAAACAGTTATTTATAAGTAATTTTACTTGTCGCTTACAACTAATAAGGAAAAAATGAGGAAAATACAGTGTTGTACGGTAAGCTATACAAATAGCTAAAAATAAATCAAAGGTTGGGAAGAATAAGGGAGGGTTGAGTGCTCACAAACATGTTTAACCCCTCCACATTCTTCATTTACCTTTCCCAAAGTAAATTTGCATTTTTTTCTACCGTTGACACAAACGTGTACAGCGCTGGATAAAATTTAGATATTATGGAAATATGCTAAACATATTTTAAGTGTATGATAAGGACGATATAATAAACAAAATCATAGGATTTGACAATTTTTAAATGAAACAAATCCAGGGGAAATTCATGTTTCATAAAACAAGGTCTGTAATTCAGTGGTGTCTGCCTTATTTGTTTTTCGTTTATTATTTTGGGTATACATAAGGTCGTTGTTTTTTTTATAAATACTGTTTCACAGTTTGTCTTACTTGATCATTTTATGGCTTTCTATACGATATGGGGTTTGCTCATTGTTGAAGGCAGTACATTGAACTATAGTTGTTTACATCCTTTACTTTGGTCTCTGGCGGAAAAGTTGTATCCTTGGCAATCATACCACATCTCCTTATTTTTACACCAATAATTCACAAATACCTAAAAGATTTAATATTTAAAAATTTACTTATTGTTTGTAGTGTACATGGAGCAGTTGTGTAACCAGCAGATAAACTTTTTAGCTTTGAATGAAGATGCTATTCTATTGAGAGTTAGTCCACAGGCTTACAGGAGAAATCTAGACTGTATTGTTGCCATAGAACCACATCCTAATAAACAACTTTCTGTAAAACTTCAAAATTTGGATATAGATGCCCTACCCTCGGGACAGTGTACCGATGATTATTTAACATTATACGATGGGAGAACACAGGCAGCACAGTTCTTGGCAGGTAAGGAGAGAAAACATAAATGAATAGGCTTGAAAATTTATGAATAATGAACTATGGTATATAAATCATATGTATAAAATACATATAAACTCTTGATCAAAGCTGTGTATAAGTATGATTTTGTTTATTTGTTTTATGTCCAGTAGCAAATATGTCATGCTTATTCAGAACGATTTAAAAACGTGTGAATGTTGTATTCAAAGTTTTTAATTAAGAAATGGTAATACCAAATGATCAATGCATAGAGGAGACAAATAATGTACTGTAACAATATTTAGTACAGTTCGGTGAATATTTGCGCGAGGGCCTAATCACGCATCTAAATTTGGGTTACGAGAATTAATTTAATGTAATTTATATTCTTGAGTACAGACATTTATGAAGTCAGTCACACAATTTCACAAACAAGAACTGATGTTTTAATTTCAGGAGCACCCAATCAAATATGTGGGAACAGAAATGTAAGAACTATACCACTAGCAGATTCTTACACAACCCAAAGAGGGTATCTCACAGCCAGATTTCGATCGGGACCAACAAACTCTATCCACAGAGGATTTGACATGATCGTTTCAGCTTTTCATTTAGGTAATTTTATTCCTATTCAAACTGTGAATTATTTATGATTTTAACGATAAATATAATAGGCTTTTGCAAATTAAAACACACGAAAAAACTAATGATATTAAATAAAATGATGCAGGTGCTACCTGATGAGCTCCAAAGGTAATTTTGTTTTACTTGTCAGCCGCAATGTCACGTAACTCCGACTGGGTGCTAATATTAAACGTTTCTCGCATTCTGACAGATTTATAGTTAAAGTATTACTTGAATGGGTCACAGTTAACTTTCCAATAAATAAACAGGGTTAAATAAACCCGTCCGTGTATTCAAGTTTTAACTAACGCATTGATACTTTATTTTCAGCACCGTGCAAAAAAAATGAATACAAGTGTTACAACCAGAGATGTATCCCAGAAAACCTTCGTTGTTCCGGCTTTGATCACTGCGGAGACAGGACGCCAGTTTGTTTATTGACAAATGAAGCTAAGGCAGCCGTGGGAGTGACAGCAATCTTAATACTCATAGCAATTATCGTAATTGTCGCAGTTTGTGTCTGGAGAAAAAAGCGTCAAACAACGTTTAATGATAGGGTAGGTAGAACGAGATGTTAAAGGTCATAAGTCATACCACTAGGGACATCATTTTCATGATAGACAAGATTTTTTTTTTATCAACAACATACTTTTTTGTACATGAGTGTTGGAAGTGATACCCTGCATATGATTATTTATGAAATAAATTGACCGAGTGCTATTCTAATTAGGGTAATACATACCAAACAATACAATACATCAATCAAAACATGGAGAAAAAGACATTTTCTCGCTACGTTGAAGACCCATTGGTGGGGTTGTTGTCTCTTTGACACATTCCCCATTTCTATTCTCTATTCTATTCATTTGAAAATTTGAATCATTATTTTTAAATAAAAATGTCCTCTTCCACATACGTAATTTCTATTTTTGAATTTTGATTGACAACTGTGAAAATGATTCCGTATTTCTCCTAACAGATGTTTACTCCACAACCGACAGACATATACCCACTATTGGGATACCGTGGGCATGATCCGTCTATAAATTAACAGGTTAGCATTGGGTCATTAAAAATTATCTTAGTAACTAGCAAATATAATATCTCCTGGACAAATCTAAGAAGCATGCAGCTTAGAGGGAATAACACGTCTGAATATTAAACAGGATATAAAACAATTTTCGACTCCTTATAAAGTATAAACATATTTACACTAACGTTTTCTCTCTATGTAGCCGCCATGTTTTGTCTGTAAACACATCTTACTTAAGATCAAATATTTATGTCTGGGTTGATATATCTAGTTAAGTTATATATTGACGCTTATACTTAAACAACTATGATAATACTAGTTCACAGTGTACTTATATGAGTAATTTTGAATTTAGGTATTCAGCGCGTAAAATTCTACGAGATAGCAAACCAAACAAAAACAAAAATCACTAAAACAGAGTAAATGCCTGTTTTCAAGAATTATAAGTATATATTTGTTATAACTTGCATTAAAAGGAAGTGAAAAATTCAGGACTTCTAATAGCTACATAATTTTTTTTTCCTAAATTATCTCCATTTAAAAGTTTCCTGTCTAAAGGTTTTTCAAACAGTTCAAAAATAATTTGAAAACCGGTTCATGTTTTATAAAACTATTAATATTTTACCTGTAACTTTGTAAGTATTGCGGACTAAAAAAAAAACATTTTTATGTAAATATTTGTTAACGCTAGTTCAGAATTACACTACTCTTAAATACGCGCAACGGATTCAATATGGCAGATGTTTTTTTTTCAAAAGTGTCAGTCTATCTTAAAGCATTAAAACAATCAACAAGGAATTCAAGTAAGAATAAAAATACTAATAACGTAAAACCTATACAGAGTTTATCTTTTTAGGTGAAACAGCAGAAACAGAGAAGCCATTTTGAACATTCTGTCGCTGGGGAATCATTCAAAGTAAAAATGAATGGCCAAGTGCATTAACAAAAACAATCTTATACGAAATAAATCATGTCTATTTTTTTTATTATTTGTGATATTGTAAATATATGGTTGTATATATGAATCTAAGAAAATGCTACAATTTTGAACGGCAGTATGAGTGAAGATTATAATACACTGTACCATCACGTAATGTCCTTTCCAATTTGGCTTATTTTGTCTTTCAGGCTTAGAAGGTGGGAACCTTAGACGAAAAGATACAACTCAGGGGAATGTTTAAAAAGGATGCCATGCAATAGCATGTATAGATCTCAAAAACTAAAATACAAAATAAGATAAGGTTGAAAAAAAGGAATTAAATATTGCTATACATGTTGCAGCATTTTCTGAATATATGTAAAATATTGTATATGTACCAAAGTGTTTATATTTTATTTGTGTTCATACATCATGTATAATTTTGTCTGTAAAATTGTGATGTTCATGAATTTACTTCGAAAGTTTGTATAGTTTGTAAGTTTGTATGAAAGTGTGCGAAAACAGAAAAATACTAATTAAAATATTAAAAAATGAACGTTTTCAGTTTCCAAAAGTCTTTCTTATTTTTAATAAATACTGTAGAGGCTTCTTTGTACAACTAGTCTGTGAGACGTTTAAAATGATAATTGAGATATTCCTTCCTCCGACCTAGCAAGCAACGTATAAAAAAACTTTGAACAAATTATCGTGTACTTGCGACAACTCACGTAATTTTAAGATTTGTGATAAAAACGATCTTTCATTCGATGTTTCACTACATTCACAGTACCTCTATTAAAAGTTACAGTCAACGAAACATTGGCATTTAAAATATTAACGTGAAGAATTAAAAACTTCAATTTTTATCGAAAAAAAATCTATTTCCATGTCTACTGGCCAGTTGTAGGAGAAATCTCTTTACACGAGTATTAGAGTAGCAATTTGAACATTTAGACAGGGGACAAGAAGAAATAAAAATCAACAATCTGTACGACCTTACATAGAAATATAAACACTGAACAACACAAACCCAACCTAAAAACGGCGGGGAAGGAAAAGGGGGGGGGGGGGTGTTAGGTGTCCAGTAAGGGTTAATTGAATATTATTTGCTAGAATGTAAATAGACTGAGACTTGGAGGGTAACGTCAATGATACAGAAACTGAGACATGGAGGGTAACGTCAATGACAGAAACTGAGACCTGGAGGGTAACGTCAATGATACAGAAACTGAGACTTGTAGGGTAACGTCAATGATACAGAAACTGAGACCTGGAGGGTAACGTCAATGATACAGAAACTGAGACTTGGAGGGTAACGTCAATGATACAGAAACTGAGACCTCGAGGGTAACGTCAATGATACAGAAACTGAGACTTGAAGGGTAACGTCAATGATACAGAAACTGAGACCTGGAGGGTAACGTCAATGATACAGAAACTGAGACCTGGAGGGTAACGTCAATGATACAGAAACTCAATGACATAAACAATACCATAATAACCATTTATAAATGTAAGCACTTAGCTCTTCAATAATTAACAAGTTTCTATAAAGTTATGTCAGACAAGCTCTCATTGATTGTTGGTTGCTTAATGTCCAGTGTCAATTATTTCATACATGTTCAGGACGAGAACAAATTCACAATTCATACAATAGTTAGTTCCTGTAATAGAGATTAACCGGGATGAAGGGCAGGACATTTTGATTACCACTGGAAAGTGAGGGTAAATTGGATAGAGACAGAAATTTAGCCTTGCAACAAGCCACCCACAGACCCCTTAAAGAGTTGTTACAAGGATTCTTAACGTGCAAAGAGCATGGTACTCTCTCTGGCTGCGTATTGTACATCCCACACTGCCAAACGGACGCCCCACTTTGGCAAGGGTATTACTATGGAAAGCCTCAGCTGTCATATATTAGAGATTTACAAAACGTTATGCTGTAACTTAAAATGTAAAGTTAAGGCAGCGTGATGTTGAATTGAGTCATCAAAATGCTAACTCTAAATTACAATATACTAAGTTGAATCTGCGCAATGTTGACTTACAATGACAAGTGCTTTAGTCGTGATAGTATAATGATAAGTCACGATGTTGTGATGATATGCCAAACACGCGTAACGTTGGGTTTACAGTACATGATGTGAAGTTGACGTTGCATGATGTTAGCTTGCAGATGGATACTGCTCAGTCATCCACATCGACAGCAATGATAACAAATAAAATGAATAGCTAAAATGTATGGTGCTGACTTGTTATTAATAAATGTTGAGCTGAGATAGTACGATGTTATATCATTGTGATATTACGATTGGTCTATCATGCAATCTGTTGGTTTAAAACACCATGATGCACAGTTGAAAGTACATGATGTTAAGTTAAGATAACACGATGCTACACCACTATATTGAAACGAAAGGTTTACTATACAATTTTTTGACTTAAAACAACACGATGCAACGTGTTAAGCTAAGATGCTCACTTGAAACTACAGGATGTACAGTTGAAATTTTGTAATGTTAAGCTACGATAGCACGATGTTATATCATTATAATGTCACAATAGGCTTATTATACAATTTGCTCATTTAAAACTACACAGCGTACAGTTGAAAGTACGTGATGTTAAGCTAAGATAGCACGTTGTTATATCATTAGAATGTCACGATAGGCTTACCACACGATATGCTCGTTTAAAACTACACGACGTACGGTTGAAAGTACGTGATGTTGAGCTATGATAGCAATATCTTATATCATAATAATATCACGATAGGCTTGCCATACAATATGCTCGTTTAAAACTACACGACGTACAGTTGAAAGTACGTGATGTTGAGCAATGATAGCAATATCTTATATTATAATAATATCACGATAGGCTTGCCATACAATATGCTCATTTAAAACTACACGACGTACAGTTGAAAGTACGTGTTGTTCAGCTAAGTTAGCACGTTGTTATATCATTATAATGTCACATTAGGCTTATTATACAATTTGATCATCTAAAATTACACCACGTACAGCTGAAGGTACGTGATGTAAAGCTAAGATAGCACGTTGTTATATCATTAGAATGTCACGATAGGCTTATCACACGATATGCTCATTTAAAACTACATGATTTTCAGTTGAAACTAGGTGATGTTACGCTAAGAAAGCATGTTGTTATATCATTTGAATGTCACGATAGGCTTATCACACAATATGCTCATTTAAAACTACACAACGTACAGTTGAAAGTATGTGATGTTGAGCTATGATAGCACGACGTTATATCATAATAATATCACGATAGGCTTGCCATACAATATGCTCATTCAAAACTACACGACGTACAGTTGAAAGTACGTGTTGTTGAGCTAAGTTAGTACGATGTTATATCATTATGACGTCACGAGAGGCTTATCATACCAATGTGTTGACTTGAAACTACATGATGTAAATTTGAAGTAGTTTGGTCTTGACTTGAAACAGTAAAATGTTAAGTTATAAAAACAGAACGTTATGTCAAAATAAAACAATGATAGGATGACATATACTTGTGCAGAATTGAAGATTGTTGGTGTTGACTTCGAATATAGTACAAATATTAGATCGTTTTATGTTAAATTGAAAGACAATAATGATGAGTAAAACATTACAGAATTATGCGAATTGAAACTGCAATTCTATGGAAAAGAATGAGGGACAAATCCCCATGATTTTTTCTTCTTCATTTCTTCATTTGCAAGTTGATAAGTATTAATGAAATTTAACTCCGGAGTCAAAATGATATACAAAGAAAGTTTTCCATAAATTCATAAAGCAAAAGAATTACTCATCGCTATATATTACACTTGAATACAGTTTGGCCGTATATTTTACATGTTTTGTTTGGATTTTTTTTTATGATTAAAAACCAGACTTTTTTTATGAACAATATTTAAGAAAATATTTATCTATGTTGTGTGTTAATATATACAACACAATATTGTGCTTATAAGACTTATGACTGTGAGGGTCAAATTTTACTCATATAAAATCACATCTATGTAAGAGTTAGCGGAGAATTTATATTTACCACTCCCGTTTTCCACGAAATAGAACATAAGAATCGGGATTCTTAATCTTAAAAAACAAAGATCAACTGATATGACAAATAATACGCTTAGCGTAGGACTGAGAGGGTCAGAGCTATATCAGAATGTGACCTAGTCAACTAGTTTGTTAAAAATTCGGCAAAATATGTCTTGTACAGAGCCAAGATTTATTCATATTTATAACACACTTACATATTCTCGTCCTTACATGCATGTAATATTTGCCACTGTACACTAAATACAAATCTATTTTCATCGATTCTTTTTTATGGAAAGGAGCCTATTCTAAGTACGTTCATCGATTTGACACCCTGTAATTTATGTTTTTTAGGAGTTCCTCGAAAATTATAAAACATTCCTACTTTATTTACAAAATCGCCAAGTAAGGGGTGCCACATATGAAACAGGATCTGCTTACCCTTCTGGAGCACCTGAGATCACCCCTTTTTTGAGGGTTTCGTGTTGCTCAGTTTTTGGTTTTCTATATGTTGCTCTTAATATACTGTTGTTTGGCTTTTGATCTTGTTTCTCTCGTTTATTTCGGCTGATGAGTTTTTGTCATGACATTGTCAGTTTGGTTAAGATTTTTACTATCCCTTTTGTATCTTTCGCCCTTCTTTTATCTATTTTTGTGTATTTGTTTTTTCGATTCTTCCCTCATCATGAACAGTATAATAGATAGATAAATGAAAACAGAAACCCTTTTCACCAAAGGGGATCTACAAGTAACTCGACGTGACCGAAATTGTAAATTTCTTCCTCATTAGATATATTGCCCTTAGGGTAGATCGGGTGTCTTCCGCCATCTTAGGGAGCTACCATTCGATTTTTATTGGGGGCTAGGATAAAATTTGAAAAAAATGCAGGACAGGAGTTTTGAGTAAAAAAAAGGCAGGATGAGCAACTTGGCAAAAAAAAGGCAGGATGACAATTTATGTAAAAAAAATAGTCAGAATAAAATAATAAAAAAAATGCAGGACCGAATAGAGTGAAAAATAAAAAGGCAGGACAGAGATTACAACTAAAAAAAAAGACAGGACAAAATTTTTCATCCTAGCCCCCCTCCCCCCCCCCCCTAAAAATCACATGGTAGCTCCCTTAAATTCTCATATAGCTCAACACAATCGGTCTAGATCTAAAAAAATATACACATTTTGAGAGAGGAATGTTATTCATATGTAGTACTTTTTCATCTTGATGAAGAAAATTATGAGATTTATTTAATTAAAACGACTATTTGTTTTTGAATACAGACCGTTTTTTGCATATGTTTTTCAACTTTTCCATATAGGGGAGATAACTCGGATAACATTACTTTTTGTCGTTTTTTATTTTTTTTTTTATTTTTTGCTATGGCATTGTCAGTCTGTTTTCGACTTATGAGGTTGAAATCCCTTTGGCATATTTCGTCTCTAATGATGGAATGTGTAGGGACTTTATCTATTTTGTTTTGTAGACAGAAAACGAGTCTC